GGTCCGTCCTGGACCATTCTCAAGTCGATTGAGAATGGTCATATGATTTATGACTAAACAATCGACTTGAGAATGGTCCAGGACGGACCGAAACGTCGTCGTCCCTTCACCTTCTAGTGTGTGGTCTGATCAACATACTTTAGCCACGTTATTGTGACTCATCGCCTGCAAGTCACACATGTCACCAAGACTTACTTTAGCACAAGGGTTCTAACTAAAGGGGTTACAAGAAGATGTGGCCGATGCAAGCTCGATAGACAATTTTAAATGTAAATATGATTAAAAGAAAAAAAAAGAGATGAAAGTATTACTACATTAAACTATTAACAGTTCGAAATAGAGGTTTCTATATGACCCTCGAGCCTGCAAACTCATCTAGGTGAATGCATGCAACAGAGGGCGAAAAGTATTATTAAAAAACGAACACATTAAAGACACGGAGCTATGAATACGAACGAAAACTCCACGTGTTCGTTTAGCTTTGATTCAGTGTGTCCATCTCGTTGTTATGGCCTGGCTCTTTACTCTCTCTCTCCTACACACTGTCCAACCACTTGGGGTGGACGGTAGAGCGACGGTCTCGCTTCATGCAGGTCGGCGTTCAATCCCCGACCGTCCAAGTGGTTGGGCATCATTCCTTCCCCCTAGCCCATCCCAAATCCTTATCCTGACCTCTTCCAAGGGCTATATAGTAATGGCTTGGCGCTTTCCCCCTCACGGGAGACATCTCCTGTCACGCAGGGTGCAGTCGCACCTCCACAGATCTCCAGTATCAGCTCTTAATACTGGTAATGGCTCAAAAGGGCCACCACTTGCACCACACCACAAAGGTTGCACGGGCTATTCATGCCCGTGCAACTTTTTGGGTGGCTTAATCTTCATCAATCAATCAATCAGCTTTCCCCCAGATAGTTCCATTCCATTCTCCTACACACGCCGCCTCTCCAACCAACGCCCCCACGAAAGTGGTCATCCAATTCAAAATTGTTTATGCCAATTGTATAATTAGATGTTTTGTTTAATAATCTTTATTTTTAATACAGCACTATACTCTTCTTAGTCTTATAATAACCTTTTGACTCTTGACCTTTTAAGACTGTTAGAGTAACTATCTTTTGTCGGTTATCAATGTTTAAAAATTAATAATCAAATGCATTTAAAGCTAAAATTAACACCAACACGTCAATTTATCCGAAGCAAAATTGGGACGTGCTAGAGTTATTTATATATACACTATTTATTCCAATTTCAAAATAATATAATATTTTCTAAAAATTTTGTTTAGTCATAAATCAAATATACTTTGAAAAAAAATACTTTGCAGCGCCCAAAGCATTACAAAATAAGCAATGCAAATTACATAGAAAGCCTCTAAATAGTGATACTATTAGGCTAATGGAACTTTAGAGTATATGTGTGTATATCACGAAAATAAACACGTGATTAGAGTATAGAGTATATGAATGGAAAACAAAAAAGTTTACGAGAACAACAAAACGGTGCGCGTATGACAAATGGTATTATTATTATCTTCAATGACAAAATTAATTACAATTTTGCCTAATCTGAGGATTTTGATAAAGTCTTATTAAAGTGAGGATAATGCTGGTATTCACTGTCACGCAGGACAGAGGGTCATACATAAGACTTTGGACTAATGCAATTATTAGAAACATACAAATTAAAGAAATTAATTCAGATTTAGAAGAACTAAGAATGACAAATGGTCGTGGACGTACCTTGAGAGTGTGTCTGGCCTGTGTAGTCGACGATGTGCTCCTGTCTGAAACATAGCGAGAGGGCGCATCACTGGAGATGGTCTGGTGGTGTACACAGTAAGGCGACCACACTGCCTACTCTAACGGCCTACTTAGGTCCATTCTAAGCGGCGCCCATCTACATTCAATCCCATAATACCTAGACAATTATATTAAGAGTATGTTGTTGTTGTTATAGATTCAGCTACTCGGAACAAGTTCCAAGTAGCACGGGCTATGGTGAGCCCGTAGTGGACTTACCTGGCACAGGAGCGGTGCCGTCTGTATTAAGAGTAATATAATTGCTCCAAATTCTCAGTTTCAGTGCAGGTAATTAGATGTACCTCTTAATTTCACCTAACCTATCCCTAAGAATTTTACATTCCAAGAAGTTGTTCACTAATCATATGTGTTAATTAAAAAAAAAAACCTTCCCAAGAGTCAATTAATCAGCTCTCAGCTGGTGTGATTAGATACGAGATATGATGGTGTTGAGATTGCGAAGTCGGATTGGGAAAGGGATCTGGGAGTTATGATTAGTAAGAATTTAAAACAAAAGGATCAATGCACAAATGTTCGTAATAAGGCAAATAGGACACTGGGATTTATTAATCGAAGCGTTAGTAACAAGACACCTGGTGTGGTTCTTCAGCTATATCTTTCAGTTTTGGTCGCCGTATTATAGAATGGATATAATTCACTTGAACGTGTCCAGCGTAGGATGACAAAGTTAATTCCCCCAAATTAGAAACCTGTCATATGAAGAAAGATTAACAAAGCTTAAGTTGCAATCACTGGAAAGGCGAAGAGTTAGGGGTAACATGATAGAGGTTTACAAGTGGAGGAAGGACATAACAAAGGGGATATTAATAGGGTATTAAAAGTATCAATACAAGACAGAACTCGAAACAATGGGTATAAATTGGATAAGTTTAGATTTAGGAAAGACTTTAGTAAATACTGGTTCGGTAACGGTTGTTGATTTGTGGAACCAATTAACGCGTACCGTGGTGGAGGTGGGGGTCCCTCGATTGTTTCAAGCGTGGGTTGGACATGTTTATGAGTTGGATTGGGTGGTTATAGATAGGAGCTGCCTCGTATGGGCCAATAGGCCTTCTGCAGTTACCTTGTTCTTATGTTCTTATGTTCTTAAGGGGCGGGGTGAGGCGTGCTCCTGAAGGAGCTGCTAAGCTCGCTCCGATACACAGGTCTCGCACCTTAATAATCCTCAGATGCTGATGCAGATCACAGGCGATACTGAACGGTGACACACTGAATCTGGAGAACACAGGAACACGTGTTGTGGAGAGACAAGTTGGAGATGAAACAGTGGCCGTAGTCAGGTGGCATGTGACTAGCCACTCACATGTCCGGCGGCCCGGGCACAGGTCTTGAGGGGTGCGGGAGCCACACACACGTCGGTGTGGCATAGTTGGTGGTGGCCGCTGGTGGAGAGGAACAAGTTGTGACGCTTCAACTGGAATGCAGCCAAGCGGCGCTGCACATCTCGATGAGTCCGCAAATGGTATTTGTTTATTGTATGTGTCTGCAGGATCCAGCTGTTAGCTCTTGGACCCCGCCGCCGTTCTAAGTGTTGATTGTCTAATGTATTGACTCGCGACCTATTCCTACTCCGTGAATATGAGCAGCATAACATGTCAGTGGACAAGGAAGCCTTGAAGAGCGTTACACACAACCTGTCTTGGACCAATACTAGATGATGTAGCACGAGTGTGGAAGTCTCACTTTGAAAGGCTCATTACAAACATACACAAAAGCCCAGAGAGCTGAGCTACGAGGAAGCACCGAGGGCCTTGACTGAAGCAAAAAATTTAAAAAGTGTAACATTTTATGGAGGAAACTTGCCCTGTGTGTACCATTACTAATGCAGACACGCAACTCTTGGCATGCACGCAAGACTCGCCCTTTGTACAGCATATCACCAGTACAGAGAAGACTTACCCTATGTACAAGAGCACCACCAGGAGAAAGGCAGAGACCAGCGTAAACACATACAAACGCGGGTTTTTAACTGTTGCTAACAGCGACATCTTGGGTCTGGAAAGAAAAAACTAAATTAACACATTACGCAAAGGAGAGATGGGCGATATGACGGGTGTGTGTTGACAGATAAAAGGGTATAACAACGAGGAAATATATACGAAGTTTTGAATATACCAACAGGAAGCAGAACTCGAAACAGTGAATATAAAGGGGAGAAGTTAAGATTCTGGAAAGACCTGGCAAAATACTGGGTTGGAAACAGGGTTGTTGATTTCTGAAACAAGTTACCGGGTAACATAACAGAGGTGGGATCGCTGGATTATTTCAAGCGTAGGTTAAACATATATATGAATGAGTTTGAGTGGGTATAAATAGGAGCTGCCTCGTATGGGTCAACAAGCCTTCTGTAGTCTCATTTATTCCTAAGTTCTCATGTTTGTGTTATGCTGAGGGGAATATGGTCATGTGTGTGTGTGGGTGTGACTGGGTTATGAACAGGTGTCAGAAATTTATTACACTAACTATAGTGTGGTGGATATTGAGCGTTCCACGTCAACACAGATTGTCGTGTCTGTTCACACCAGTTCCTCCATCTATCATCATTCTATTATGCAGGAAGTACCGCACGTCTATGGGTCATCCAATAATGTTAGCAGACTTCTAGATGTTACCACTGCTAGGCTTAGGCTCGGCTACAAGTACCTCTGGGAATTTGTAACATCTGCTGATGTAAATTTGACTAAATGTAAACTCTGTCAGCAGAACTATTCGCATACTTTGCGTCATTATATAATGGAATGTGAAAAAATCGCGGAATTGAGAGATACCACCATCAATAGTGTCCAAGAAATGTGTAAGTACTTCATTCATAATGATGTGCTGCCCGAAATCTTAGCCAAGTATCCAAAATTTGCTTACTGTAGGTAATGCATGCACATGACTGTAAAGCTGCCGCCCAGTTGGGTGGGTGTGGAGCAAGAGTAGTAACTGTATGACTCACCATAGATGTAAAGTGCCTTGTATAGTGACTGTTGTGAGCCTCTTGTTGATCACTTGTGACACAAAAGATTATTGATGTATTTGTGTGGGTGATTAAATATGTATGTGTATGTATATATGTATACGTATATATATGTACATTTATGTATGTATGAGTATGTGTAAATGCATATATAACATTAATAATTTTGTAACTAGCGTCAAAACATTGTTATTTGCTTAGCTAAACGAACTAGAGGGTTCAGTTCCTGAACCGATTATGTACCTCTGTAACCCTTTACACCACCGCCCACGGGATGGGTATGGGGTGCATAATAAAGAAAGAAGTTGAATTGTACAATGGCAATAAAGTTACAATGTTAACCAGCATGCATATATATATATATATATATATATATATATATATATATATATATATATATATATATATATATATATATATATATATATATATAACAATGTCAGACCACGGAGGAAAATGAAACAGGAATTTCCTTAAGTACTTTCTGAAGAAGTATTTAATATACGAAAGTACTAAAGGAAATTCCTGTTTCATTTTCCTCCGTGGTCTGACATTGTCACATTCTTAATCACATGTTTATTTTCGTGATACACACACACACACACACACATATATGTATATATATATATATATATATATATATATATATATATATGTGTGTCGTACCTAGTAGCCAGAACGCACTTCTCAGCCTACTATACAAGGCCCGATTTGCCTAATAAGCCAAATTTTCATGAATTAATGCTTTTTCGACTACCTAACCTACCTAACCTAACCTAACTTTTTCGGCTACCTAACCTAACCTATAAAGATAGGTTAGGTTAGGTAGGGTTGGTTAGGTTCGGTCATATATCTACGTTAATTTTAACTCCAATAATTTTTTTTTTACCTCATACATAATGAAATGGGTGGCTTTATCATTTCATGAGAAAAAAATTAGAGAAAATATAATAATTCAGGAAAACTTGGCTTATTAGGCAAATCGGGCCTTGCATAGTAGGCCGAGGAGTGCATTCTGGTTACTAGGTACGACATTATATATATATATATATATATATGTCGTACCTAGTAGCCAGAACGCACTTTTTGGCCTACTATGCAAGGCCCGATTTGCCGAATAAGCCAAGTTTTCCTGAATTAATATATTTTCTCTATTTTTTTTTCTTATGAAATGATAAAGCTACCCATTTCATTATGTATGAGGTCATTTTTTTTTTATTGGAGTTAAAATTAATGTAGATATATGACCGAACCTAACCAACCCTACCTAACCTAACCTAACCTATCTTTATAGGTTAGGTTGGGTTAGGTAGCCGAAAAAGTTAGGTTAGGTTAGGTTAGGTAGGTTAGGTAGTCGAAAAACAATTATTTAATGAAAACTTGGCTTATTAGGCAAATCGGGCCTTGTATAGTAGGCTGAGAAGTGCGTTCTGGCTACTATGTACGACATATATATATATATATATATATATATATATATATATATATATATATATATATATATATATATAATGTTGTACCTAGTAGCCAGAACGTCGTACTCGGCCTACTATGCAAGGCCCGATTTCCCTAAAAAGCCAAGTTTTCCTGAATTTATATATTTTTCAATTTTTTTTTCTTATGAAATGATAAAGCTATCCATTTCATTTTGTATGAGTTAATTTTTTTTTTAAATTTGAGTTAAAACTAACGTAGATATATGACCGAATCTAACCAACCCTACCTAACCTAACCTAAACTAACACAATTAAGTCAATAATTTATGTTCTTAATATAATATAATAATAATAATTCAAATAAACTAATTAGAAACAATTTATTGAAAATAAACAAAATCACTCGGCCTAATAGGCAAATCGGGCCTTGCATAGTAGGCCGAGAAGTGTGTTCTGGCTACTAGGTACGACATACATATTATAAATATATATATATATATATATATATATATATATATATATATATATATATATATATATATATATATATATATATATATATATATATATATATATATATATATATATATATATATATATATATATATAAATGTGACAGTGTCAGACCACGGAAGAATTGAAACAGGAATTTCCTTAAGTACTTTCGTACATTAATACATCTTCAGAAGGAATGGATTCATTCTTTTATTCCTTCTGAAGATATATTATTATACGAAAGTACTTAATACAATACAATACAATACAATTTTATTTAGGTAAGGTACATACATACAATAAATATTTACAAGGATTGTTTGACTTATAGGTAGAGCTAGTACATACAATGCCTAAAGCCACTATTACGCAAAGCGTTTCGGGCATGATAAACTTAAATGACAAGCTTACTAAGTTTATCATGCCCGAAACGCTTTGCGTAATAGTGGCTTTAGGAATATTTAAGGAAATTCCTGTTTCAATTCTTCCTCCGTGGTTTGACATTGTCACATTTTTCATCACGTGTTAATTTTCGTAATTTACACACACACACACACACATATATATATATATATATATATATATATATATATATATATATATATATATATATATATATATATATATATATATATACAGAGAGAGAGAAATTATATATAGATATGTACAGGCTGCCTGTCCCCGACAACATGAATTATAATATAATTGTTGCATTACAAACTTAATCTCTGATACAATGAAGTCCCGCATATCATCAAGTGTTCATAAAGTATTCAGGTAATATTAATAGAGTTCAGCGTAACTCACCCCAGAGGGATCTGAAGCCAGCCAGTACAGGACGCTCTACAATATAATGCTCAAAAGAGTACATGTTATCCCTTTCAAATGTTTACAAGTTGTATATTCAACACTCGTGTTGTGGGAGTTGCCAGGTACGCCTGTACCCCAGGTGCATCTTGGCCACTACAACACTGTATAGCAGAGCTCTCGTGTATAATACAACAGCTCAACAGTTTTTGTGTATATAGCTTATTAAGATTTTCATGAGGTGTTCGTTTCAGTGTTCTTTTTGTCACTGATAAGGAAACACTTAGTAATTTATACTCCTGGTCTGCTACAGCCTGTTTTTGCATGCATGTCACCAGTATCATGCTTCGAGATGCCAACATGTGACGGTACTTACAGTAATATATTTTTCAAATACTTAACTAAAATAAATCGCCCGGATATCGCGGTTTTCTTTCTGTTACTAATGAGTGTGTTCAATGGTAAGAGTGAACGTTTGGCAGTCACAGTAATGGATTCCACTGTCTTTGTACTTTAAATAATTCACTTGCTTGGTATACCTGCAACTTGGGTGTGTTACTTGCCCAGTCATTGACACTCTACACTGGGGTGTGAGTGCTACTTGCCCAGTCATTGACACTCTACACTGGGGTGTGAGTGCTACTTGCCCAGTCATTGACACTCTACACTGGGGTGTGAGTGCTACTTGCCCAGTCATTGACACTCTACACTGGGGTGTGAGTGCTACTTGCCCAGTCATTGACACTCTACACTGGGGTGTGAGTGCTACTTGCCCAGTCATTGACACTCTACACTGGGGTGTGAGTGCTACTTGCCCAATCATTGACACTCAACACTGAGGTGTGAGTGTTACTTGCCCAGTCATTGACACACTATTGTTGTCCCCCCTAACTTCCCTTGCCACTTCGAGGGGGGGGGATAGGTTGTTTATGTAGTTTCAGGGCACCAATCCCCCCCCCCCCCCCCAGCCACAGGGCATGGCGAGAAGGCACCCCTAAACATACCTAATTTCCTATCAAACTCAAACTAAATACACATAAATGACAGATCTCATCACAACCCACAAGGGTTAAGATAATAATAACATGATACACACACATACACAAAATGGAAAATTCTTTTATATTTCGTTTTTCTTATATGGGACACAACACACAAAGGGAGAGGTGCACAGTATATTATTAAAAAAGAAATAAAGCTAAAGGCAAAACAACACGCTGCCTAAGCGGCAGGATTGGTGACTAGACAACAGCGTACATGGAAAAAAAACTATTGATAATGGAAGCTCCTAACAA